TGAGTGTTAATGCACGAAGGGTGATGTCGTGCCATATTTTGAGTGTTAATGCACGAAGGGAGATGCCGTGCCATATTATGAGTGTTAATACACGAAGGGTGATGTCGTACCATGATATGAGAGTAAAAGCACGAAGGGTGATGTCGTGCCGTTTCTATTAATTTTATGCTGGTATTGAGAGTAAAAGCACGAAGGGTGATGCCGTGCATTTTTTCTTACTGTATTCATTATTCCTGTTGATTCATAGTATATTGACTGCTCCGGTGATTATTCTGTTGTAGTTCTTTATCTTGTATTCTCCTCAGTATGTTTCCCGCCCGACATTTCCTGTTTAGTTCTTCATTTCTATTATATGTATTTACACTGTTAAATTGTACATGTTGATTTGTAGGTGCCTTGCCTTAGCCTCGTCACTACTTCGTCGAGGTTAGGCTCGACACTTACCAGTACATGGGGTCGGTTGTACTGATGCTGCACTCTGCACTTTCTGTATAGATTTTGGTACCAACTCGGGTTGATCGAGATTTGCTATTGGTCCGTTGTCCAGAGATTCAAGGTAGATCTGTCGGCGTTCACAGACTTTGAAGTCCTCGTCTATCTTTTATGTCCTACTGTTTTCTTTCATTCAGACAGTCGTATTTCTTTCAGACTATTACTTGTAGTAAATTCTAGAATACTCGTGAATTGTAACTCCAGATCCGGGTGGTAGTAATTAATACAGTTTTGTGATATTCCGCACTTATTATATTTTATTTTAGTTAATTATTGTTATTTGCTGAATGGAAATAAGTAATTAGTTAATGATTTTCTAACGTTGGCTTGCCTGGCAAGTGAAATATTAGGCGCCATCACGGTCCCGTTGGTGGGAAATTTCGGATCGTGACAGTATTAATAATTATACTAATTAAGTAGAAGTGTATTAAGAACTATTACTGATTTATAAGCTTATACATTGAGAATTACACTAAGTAGAAGTGTATTAGTAATACCAGTAAGAAAAATTACGGATCGATTAGCCTATACATTGAAAATTCTACTAAGTAGAAGTGTATTAGCAGTATTCTTAAGAAATATTACTCATTGATTAGTTTATAAAATGATAAGTACACTAAGTAGAAGTGCATTAGTGATATCCTTAAGTAATATTAGTGATTGATTAGACTATTAATTGATACTTAACTACGTAAAAGTGGTTTAGTAGTAATTAGCTTGTAAATTAATAATTATATTAGCTTATGATTTATTTTAAATTATTAATAGTAATTTTATTGTTAATTAATGCTAAAAGATTAATTACACTCTATCATGGTTATTTATATTTCATGGTCAATTTCATTGTTAATTAATCCTAAAAGATGAATTTCTTAATACATGTTAAAACATCTAAAAACTCAATTAAAGTGGATGGGAGGGAGTAATAAAATAATTGATCACATCTTGCTAATTACTACATTTGCTTGAAAATATTACAATTATGGGCATAATATTTTCAGTAACTTAAATATTACACATAAATTCCACAACATGGAATTAAAGCATTTAATAATTAAGATTATTGGGTGGTTTACCTCTTTCTTAACGGCGCCGTTTCAGCCTCTAACCCCACCTTCATTACACTCTTTCTTGGCCCTAAATTCCATAACACATTTTCCTCTTTTTGCCGCTCTTCTTCTTCTTCTAATGGGAGCTTGTCTTTGTTCTTCTTGTCTTTATTCTTCTAGTCTTTGTTCTTCTACTTGGAGCTTTGGGTGTATTGAGGTGGTTATCAGCTGTAGACGAAGGAGACTCGCAACGGCGGAAGCGGTGGTTAGTGTTAGTGTGGCTTTTTTGGCCCCATTTCAACTGGGTAAAGAGAAATAATGCAGTGGCTGTGACTTGAACGGTGCCGTTGCCATTCTAAGAATTGGGCAAAAGAGCAAAACCCTACTAAGACCTTCATGCAACTTTATCTCGGTGAGTTTTTTTTCTCTCCATTTTTGAATTATTTCTATTCTGAATCTCAAAATTAGGGCAGTGTTTCATTTTTTTGGGAGGAATTTTGGTGTTATGGAGGCTTATACGAGATTGATTAGGAGGAATACAGATTTTGTCCATCAATTTGATTCTCTTGTTAATGTAATCCTCTCTTAGTTATCAATTTTTTTTTTCTGTATATATTTTGATCATCTTTGCAATTAAAAAGCTTTTGAATGCCTTCTACTTGTTTAGGGGTGTAAAAAGTTACTCTAGTTTTGATTGGCAACAAGAGTGATAATTGGACTTTTAATATAAAATCGGTATAAACAAGAAGTGGAAGAGCTCGCTAGGAGTCAGCCGACCGATGAGCAAGGCCAGCCGATCATGCCATCGGAGGAAGAAACCCTCTCATTGTGGTTGAACGTGGTTGGAGGCGTGTATAAGGGTAAATCATACGACCTTTCCTCCGAGCGCAATTTTCATCGCCTCGCGTGTGGACTACAAGGTATATACTTTCGCTTAGTGTGGAGATTTGTCGGATGTGGTTCTTGTATGTTTGGAAATTTTGATTATTCTTACTTAGTGATAATCAAAGGCAATTTTTCAGTACTAGAATCTTGACTGCAATAATAATTTGTGTACAACCAGGTGGAGTTTTTTTAGAGTTTCTGCTTCTATGTATTATCATACACTAGGCTCTTGCAAAATGTGGATACTTGACCTTTCATTATTGATAATGTTTGCTGATTTTCTTTCTGAAATGGTGATGGTTGTTTTTATTTATTATATAGATATCACAGCAAAGGTATTTTCTTTAGTTCAGCATAGTATAGAATTTTGTGATTTGTGGCAAAAACTGACTTGCAAGTAAAAACAATGGGGACCTTTAGAGAAATGCAATTTACAGCTCTCAGATTGAAGTTGAAGATTATCTTTGGTTTGCCATTTGGTAAATCCATGCTAATCTCATCTCACGATGAGAAATAACTTTAGGACTTCATTAATAGGAGGCAAATGTGTCATAAATCACGTATAGCATCTAGGTAGACAGGTTGCAGGATTATCAGGTACAATCATTCAACTCTACTATGTCAAATTGTAACAGGTTAGAGAAATTATCATGCACTTTTTAAATTGTTCTTGATGCATATGCACCTTCTAAAGATAGATAATTGATTTCATTATCGTTTCCCCCCAACGGAAAGCGAATTTTTGAACTGCCTCATATTTATGATGGTAATGCCAACTGTTTCTAATTGGGATACTTTTTTAATCATCTGTTATTCGAAGACTCTGTTTGATAGTGCATTCTATAAATTTCAATTATCAGAATGTCTATAAGGATGAAAGAAGTTAACTTTTTTCAAGTATGGGAGGTGTAAGACAAGTGAGTCTGTTAGCTTAGATATCCTTGTGGTGAGTGTGGGTAATTTCAGTGTTTATAACTAGAGGTATTTATAGAGAATGACAGGTGGATAGAGGCATTTGATCTAAAATATTTACCCAAAGAAAAAGAATTGTTTATTATGACTTATAGAGGGAAGAAACAAAAGGAGCAGGCTTTTTTCTGGAAAGGGAGTAGAGCTAAGACAAAATGAGTTTGTTAGTACTATTTTNTATTTCTGTGCCTTTTTAGAAGATTGAATTCTAAGGCTTTATTTTGATGGTAGTTGGTAGGACAAAAATGTTTTGCCCCATACTTTCTTGATTCCTATCTACCATAATCGGCTTAAAGAACCAAACCCCTAATCATTTCCTTTTTCTGTCCATGTTTGTTTTGTCTTTAGCTCCAATTTACTATCTTATTTATTTATCATTTTGAAATAACCCTAATGAACATTTAGTGGTGAAATCAAACATTGATCTTGTCTATGCCAAACAATAGTGATATCATCAATGATTCAATAGGTGCTGAATTATTCAATTCTAACTCTTTGTGTATCTTTTTCACTTCTCTTTTGTGGATTAAGAGGTATTGGGACATCCGCCACCTTACAAAATGAGTACCTTGAGGAGATGCGGCGAACGATTCGACAACTTTCTAGGAACTATGCGGATGAACGAGAAAAAAGAAAGCATGAAGAGAAGATTAGAGACGCACTTAGAAATGACATCGACTCCCTCAAGGCTCAAGTGAACCATTTAATCGGCCTGCCCTGTTCTAAGCCAAAAAGTCACATTTATGAAGATGATGAAAGTGATGGAAATAATATAAATGATGAAGAATATGAGGGGGAATCCAAAGATGAGGAGTGATTTTATGTTTGGTTGGATTGTTGTTTAGTTGGATGTTAACTTTGAATGTTACATTTTAAAGTTTGGTTGGATAGTTTTGATGTTTGATGTGATAATTTGGATGTTTGGATAGTTTATAAAGTTTAGTTATTGTTAAGTTGAGTTTTATTGTGGTTGCATTTCTATTTCTATTGTAATATTCTGGCTGGCAGGTCTATTGTAATATTATGGCTGACAGGTCTATTGTAATATTCTGGTTGGCAGATGGTGCAATAAAAAATAGGCACTCCCGGCCAAAAATGTACCAGATTTACCATCAGAGTCCGTCGAAACACTTATTCATTTTCGATCCATAATTCTTAATTAGCGAGGGAGTCCGTCGGTAGACTTGAACCAAATTTTCAAATTTTGTTGAAAATACCGACGGATATCCATCGGAATATGAATTTATTCATATTTTTAATTTTTGAATTGCTAAATTAAAATTCTAAATTTACCGATGGTATCCGTCGGTAATATTAAATTATTATTTTTAATTACCGACAGATATCCATCGATATTGATATTATTAATATTATATTATTTTATAATATACCGACGGATATCCGTCGGTAAGTAAAATTATTTGACAAACTACTGTCAGAAATGTACCGATGGGGTCCATCGGTAATTACCGACGGATTCTGTCGATTTATTTTACCGAGGAAGGTTTTACCTACCTACCTACCACTTACCGACGAACTTCCTTCGGTACAACCTTGTTATCGAGGGACGTCCGTCTGTAATTTGCGTCGGTAAACAAGTGATTTTTAGTAGTGTGGTGCAAAAATTATGAAATTGGAGGTGGAAATTACGGTAGTAAGTTTCCAGCCGCCATTGAACCCGTATCCTTCAGGAGCCATCTCATCGCAGTCGAAGAGCATGAGTGGAGCATAAGCTCCACTCTCTGAGTCCTCTGCTGTGAACGGCCTCCCATATCCTGGAGTCAACGTCACAGTCCCATATTTCTTGCACTTTTTGCACTGAATAGGAGAAACTTAGAGAGATGAGAAACAAAGTTGGAGCGTCTAATTAAACAAGGATAAAATTAGGAGTTTTTTTAACTCTTATAACATGGTTATGTCACGGCTGCTGGACACTCTCGCTGATATAGACGCATTGTCTTTTCGACAGTTCCTGGCAGTTTTGGCAGTGAAGCTGAAACAAAAACAGAAAAGTAGAAAGTAAGATTACTTGATCTTCATTAAAAAAAAAATGAAAATCTATGAAACTTATAATCTAACTTTAAAAAAATGTGGCGTGTTTTCATCATCTGCTCCACCATTTGGAACCATGGTGGCAATGTTGCTCAACCTAGCACTGATTTCTAGTAAAAATTTCATATTTGCCTTTCTGCCTTTCTAGTAGAATATAGGTGTTAAGTACTCCAATTTCAAATGAGAATTGAGAGGAGGAACAACTGTCACGACCCGAAATTTTCCATCGACGGAACCGTGATGTCGCCTAACATTTCACTTGCTAGACAAGCCAACGTTAGAAAATCGTTAAACCAATTCCTTATTTCCATTCAGTAAATAACAATAATTAACTAAGATGAAATATAATAAGCCACAAAATATTATAAAACTGTATCAATTACTACCACCCTGATCTGGAGTCACAATTCACAAGCATACTAGAATTTACTACAAGTAATAGTCTGAAAGAAATACAACTGTCTGAATGAAAAAATAAACAGTAGGGCATAAAAGATAGACGGGGACTTCAAGGTCTGTGAACGCCGACAGATATACCTTGAGTCTCCAGACAGCGGACCAATAACAAAATCTCAATCAACTTGAGCCGGTATCAAAATCTGCACAGAAAGTGCAGAGTGCAGCATCAGTACAACCGACACCATGTACTGGTAAGTATCGAGCCTAACCTCAGCGAAGTAGTGATGAGGCTAGGACAAGACACCCACATATAACCTGAACAGTATAATCATGCTAGTGGCAACATCAGTAAATAAAGAAATAACGCAGAAATAATGGGCAGGGGACATACAGTGGGGGAATACGGCATAAAGAGTGAGAATAATGAAAAGATAGAATTAAACCGAAAATCCTTAAACGAATTGAGCAACTAAAATAGTAAGAAAAACTGCACGACATCACCCTTCGTGCTTTTACTCTCAACCTCACCAAATAAATGAATAGAACGGCACGGCATCACCCTTTGTGCATTTATTCTCAACCTCACCAAATGAATAAATAGAACGGTACGACATCACCTTTCGTCCTCTTACTCTCAACCTCACCAAATAAATAAATAGAATGACACGGCATTACCCTTCGTGCATTAAACCTCTCATAATATACACGACATCACCCATCGTTCTTTAAACCTCTCATAATATACACGGCATCACCCTTTGTGCTTTACACTCTTCCTCACAATATAAATAATGCATGCACAGCATCACCCTTCGTGCTTTACACTCCTCCTCACAAATCATAGAATCAACAACAACGGATAGATAAAAGTATCACAAAGAAACTAGTATTTTACCCATAATCAATAGCACATTGTAATCTCAACCTTGAGTCAATATTCGAAAGTTACCAATCTCAGTGAAACCAGATATGAGTCACCCAACATTTTAAATAACCCGCTAAACATGGATAGTAGAATTTAAGGCTACAAAATAGATAAGAATAGAATTTCACTCGCATGCTATGACTCGACAACGAAGCATAGATGCTTGTCTACTCACCTATACATCGTATTTAATAACCAAACACGTAGAAAATGAACACATAATACCTATTCCCTCAAGCCAAAGTTAGACACGACACTTACCTTGCTCAGAAGGCCACTTAATTCTCAATCACAGCTTTTCCTTTGGAATTCACCTCCAAACCACTCGTATCAATTCAAAAATGACTCAATAATATCAAATATTGCTAAAGGAATCAATTATATTTCATAAATTAAATTTCTCAAATTTTCCTCCAAAAAGTCAAAAAATCGACCCCAGGCCCGCTTGGTCAAAACTCGAGATTCGGACCAAAATCATTTTACTCATTCACCCCCGAGCCCGAATATGTAATTAGTTTTGGAATCCAACCTCAAATTGGGGTCTAAATCCTCAAATTTTCGAAATTCCTAGTTTCTACCCTAACCCTAATTCTACCATGAAAACTCTAGATTGTTGGTTGATAACTCAAGAAATGTAATGGGTAATTGAAAGAAAATGGTTTAGAATCACTTACCAATAATTTGGGAAAGAAATGGCTCTTGAAAAATCGCCTCTCACCGTTTGGTTTTTTAGAAAAATGAATTTTTGGCTAAAATCCCGTTTTTGGATTCTGTTAAGTGCTGGGCGACAGTGTTCATCGCGTTCACAAGAGCACTGTCGTGTTCGCGAAGTGTATAGGCTGCCAAGCCTTCTTATTCGCGAGACAGTGTTCGCGTTCGCGTAGGCTACCCCCCCATGGCCTTCGCGTTCGCGAGACATTGCTCGAGTTCGCGATGAAGGAACGATCGACTCTCCCCCAGGTGTGCCTAACACTACGCGTTCGCGAGTAGCTGGTCGCGTTCGCGAAAGGTAACACCCCCATCGCTTCGCGTTCGCGAAGAAGAAAATTTCAGCTGCCCAGTTTACTCTTCGTGTTCACGAGAGTACCTTCGCGAACGCGAAGAAGGACATGCCTGAACACCTACTGTAGCAAAATACCAGATTTTCAAAATCCAAAACATCTCGTGGCCTATCCGAAACTCACCCAAATCAAACATTCACAAGTCTAAAAATATCATACGGACTTGCTCACGCGATCAAATCGCCAAAATAACAGCTAGAACTATGAATTTAGCACCTAATCAAATGAAATTCTCAAGAACACTTTAAAATTTCTATTTTCTCAACTGGACGTCCGAATCACGTCAAATCAACTCCGTTTCTCACCAAATTTCACAGACAGGTCTTAAATATCATAATGAATCTGTACCGGACTCTGGAACCAAAATACGGATCCAATACTAACAATGCCAAATATCAATCAATTTTTAAAAACAAATAATTTTTAGACTTTTAATTTTCATCAAAAATTCACACCTCAAGTTAGGGACCTCTGTATTCGATTTCGGGCATACGCCCAAGTTTCATAATTCGATACCGATCTACCGGGACCATCAAAGCACGGATCGGGCCCGTTTACCAAAAATGTTGACCGAAGTCAACAAATAAATCAACTTTTATGGAAAATATTCTTATTTTTATTAGTTTTCAACATAAAAGCTTTTCGAAAACCTGCCCGGACTGCGCACGCAAATCGAGATGGCTAAAAATGAGATTTTAAGGCTTAAGAGCGCAGATTCGAGTTCTAAAACATAAGATGACCTTTTGGGTCATCACATTCTACACCTCTAAAATAACCGTTCGTCCTCGAACGGACATAAAAAAGTACCTGGGCTGGTAAAAAGGTGGGGATATCTACTCCGCATATCGGACTCGGACTCCCTAGTAGCTGCCTCAACAGGCTGACCTCTCCATTACACTCGAACTGAAGGGTAACTCTCTGATCTCAACTGGCGAACTTGCCGATCCAGAATAGCTATCGGCTCCTCCTCATAAGTCAAATCTTTGTCCAATTGAACTGTGCTGAAATCTAACACATGGGACGGATCACCATTATTTTCCGAAGCATGGATACATGAAACACCGGACGAACCACTGATAAACTAGGTGGTAATGCAAACCTGTAGGCTATTCCCCCCACCCTTTCAAGAATTTCAAAAGGTCCTATTTACCTAGGGCTCAACTTGCCCTTCTTTCCGAACCTCATTACACCTTTCATAGGTGAAACCCGAAGCAATACTGTTTCTCCAACCATGAATGCAATACCACAAACTTTACGGTCAGCATAACGTTTTTGCCTAGACTGAGCTGTGCGAAGTTGATCTTGAATAACCTTGACCTTATCCAAGGCATCATGTACCAAATCGGTACCTAACAACCAAGCCTCTCCCGGTTCAAACCATCCAACTGGCGAACGGCACCGCCTTCTGTATAATGCCTCATATGGAGCCATCTGAATGCTCGATTGGTAGCTATTATTATAAGCAACCTCCACAAGTGGAAAGAATTGATCCCAAGAACCTCCAAAGTCTGTAACACAAGCGCGAAGCATATCTTCCAATATCCGAATAGTGCGTTCTGGCTGTCCGTCTGTCTGTGGATGAAATGTTGTACTCAACTCAACCCGCGTGTACAACTCACGCTGTACAGCCCTCCAGAAGTGAGAAGTGAACTGTGTACCTCGATAAGAAATGATAGACATGGGCACACCGTGAAGGCGGACAATCTCACGAATGTAAATTTCAGCTAACCACTCTGAAGAATAGGTAACTGCCACTGGAATGAAATGTGCTGACTTGGTCAACCTGTCCACAATGACCCAAACTGCGTCAATTTTTCTCTGAGTCTATGGGAGCCCAACAACAAAATCCATAGTGATACGCTCCCACTTTCATTCATGAATTTCTATTTTCTGAAGCAAACCACCAGGTCTCTGATGCTCGTACTTAACTTGCTAACAATTCAGGCAACGAGCTACATATGTAACTATATCCTTCTTTATTCTCCTCGACCAATAATGTTGCCGCAAATCTTGATATATTTTGGCGGCACCTGGATGAATAGAATACCTGGAACTGTGGGCCTCTTCCAGAATTAATTCACGAAGCTCATCCTCATTAGGCACACATATATGACCCTGCATTCGCAGAATTCCATCCTTCCCCACAACAACCTGTTTGGCATTACCGTGCCGCACCATGTCCTTAAGGATAAGTAAATGAGGATCCTCATACTGTCTCTCTCTGATGTGCTCATATAAAGAAGACCGAGCGACTGTGAAAGCTAGAACCTGACTGGGTTCTGAAACATCTAACCTCAAAAGCTGATTAGCCAAAGTCTGAACCTCTGCAGCTAACGTCCTCTCACCAACCGGATTATACGCTAGGCTGCCAATATACTATATAAGATCCTAAACCTGTGGGTAACACCAATACCGGTGTCGTAGTCAAAGTTGTCTTGAGCCTCTGGAAGCCCGCCTCACACTCGTCTGACCACATGAACGGAACACCTTTTTGGGTCAGTCTGGTCAATGGGCTTGATATAGATGGAAACCCTTCCACGAACCGACAATAATAACCTGCTAAACCTAGGAAACTCCGGATCTCTGTAACTGAAGTAGGTCTATGCCAATTCTGAACTACCTCAATCATCTTAGGATCCACCTTCATGCCTTCTGCCGATACAACATGCCCCAAAAAGGCAACTGATTCTAACCAAAACTCACATTTTGAAAAATTTGGCATATAACTGATTATTCTTCAA